GAGGGCACTGTTTGCTCCTTGATTCATGAGCTGGAAAAAAGCTCAAAGCGAGCTTCTTCGAGGCTTTGGGTATCGCTAGGAATTAGTCGGCGTAACTAGATATCGCTGAGAGTTAACCAGTACAGTTAGTTATCCCTAGGAACCACCTAATTCCTGGCTGAACGAGACTCGAGCAGGCTCCTCTCTCCAACCGTCTCCAAATATTAGCTCCAAAACCTTGGTATCCCCTCCAGCGATCGGCTCTCATAAAAGTTGAACAATGAAATAGCTCGGTTCACCTGCCAGTCGATCGAAGAGGTAGCAGTGAAAGGCGATCCATCAGAAATAGGTCAATTACGTACGTCTAGGCAGAGAAGAGTTCCCGCAGCTGATTCGAACGGCCGCGAACCCGAGAGCACCCGACACTTGATCCGGAATCGAGAGACACCTAGGAGGAGAGGCTAGCTTCTCGCTAGCGAGTTTTCTCCGGGGGGATGTCCGCGACACGAACCAGTTATCCTTGAAACCATGTTGCTTTCCCTGTCCGCGACATCGGGGCCGCATCCCGTGGACCTGCCATTCTCTTTATCTACACTTTTTCTGCCGTCTTTCTTGTGAAAGAACTATCCTTAGCTACTTTTCCTCGCGACGGAGCCGTCCTTCTCGTGGTTATTCGATAGCTACCTGTAATAGAAGTTGGATGGGTATCTGGTTTGCTGTTTAGGTAACTTTTTAGTTAGATGTCTAGCTATTCAGCTGTCCAGTTAGCTAGTTGGATGCCTAACTGAGCTATTTGGTTAGCTAGTTCGATGCCTAGGTAGCTCTTTATTACAAATCTAGTCAGCTTTTTAACTGTAATCGCGATCGGTACACGATTGCTACACAATTCTACCATACAACGTAACTGTTCGTCGAAAGACCCTCAGTCCAAGGCCTCGGAAAACACCTTTCTGTCAGAGCCTATGGCAACACCTCGGTGTCCCATATCGACAGCTCAGTCGAGGGACGCGCGTCGATCGAGCGGAAGCCCTCGCCCGAGGGAATCGGCGTCCCGATGCCTCTCCGAGAGTCACCTCATGAAATTGGATCGAATTAACCGAGAGCTCTCTCTCTCTCTCTCTCTCTCCCTCTCTATCTCACTGTCCGCGGGAACGTAAGTCGAGCCGACGGGGAACACTCTTTTTATTCCCCCCTCCCCTCCCCGACTCCGCTCTTCATCCTGCGGGACAAGCTTTCTTCTCTCGTCAGCGTGTGTCGATAAAAGAAAAGTTTTCGCGCGATTGGATCGAATCGGATCGCGATGTTTCTCGGCAATTTAGCGTGAGCGTCTTCGAACACCGGCCGAGTGGAAGTTGTCTACCTTTAGATCTCTTTCTCCGCGTGCCGTTGATTTCAATGTTTCTTATTTCCTTTGAACACTTTCGTTATCGGTCTTCTTTGATAGTTCCCCGCTTCGGTATATTCGGAATGATTGGTTCAATTCGAAGTTAAATAATTCGTTTGCATTTCTCCAGAAGTAGGATTCGTCTTTCCGTCGTATAAACGAAATACCTTTGAACTCTGCACCGACGATCCAATAGAAACTTCGTCGACACGAGTTCCTCGCTGATCTATTCGCTGCTAAACGATCGACAATCTTTACTAAGAATTCCCAGTAAAGATTGTTGAATCTATTCACTATTTACTATTTCAAGATCAAGCCAATCCAACCAGCAGAGGCAATGAAACGTCCATTAATTCCTTAATTCATAGAATGTCAATTTCACCCTCTCCAAACCCGTTTCCCCTCGTCCCTCTTACACGTATCCATCTATCATCAATTCTCCGCAACATATAAAAAAAACCCCCTCGATCTACGTTGCAATAAACCAACGACCAGCACCGTCCGAAAAAAGAAGACGATCAAGGGGGTTGAGAGCCACTGCACGCGCACGCCAGACCGTCAGGAGCCTTTTCCCATCGGTTTTCCCCCGGGGGCCGGTAAACAACGCGCCGCCGTCGCCGGCGGACCCCGCACACGCGTATCGACGTGTCCCGATACCCCCAGACTGAATTTAATAACTGCCCCGGCCCCGCCGGTGTTCTTTGTAATCTCAATATCCGACGGCCGATCCCTTCCCTCGTCGGCGACGGTCGCCCGATTGACCGTCGCCGGTGATTTTTCGCGGAAACGGTTTCCCGTGGACGGGGAAAGGGGTGAGCGACTGGTATCGATCGTTCCGCCAATCGAGAACTTGCGGCCCACCGGCCGATATCGTTTTATCAAGCGCGATTTTTCGGTTTTCGACTAGACACCGGCGAACTGCGGTCGCTTTTGCGATATTTTTTTGTCGACAGACAACGCTGCGGGAAAGAGTCCCTCCGCTCGGGAATCGGTGGTTTCCAAATTGTATTTGGCGTTTGGAAGTTCGTTTATTTGCTTGTCAAGGGGTTGGACTGTTCCATGAAGGGTCGCTGCGTGAAAAGGGAAAGTAAATCTAACGCGTTGCCGAGCTGAATATTTTCATTTCACGAGAACTCAATGAACTTCCCGAATTGAAGTGGAATCAAATTACGCGACGAGTTGAACGCTGCGCGAGATACAACTGTTTTGTTTAAAGAATTGTAATATAGCTTCTATTACTGAGACGTAAACTCCCCGTCGCGTTCTGCTGATTAATGAAACTTTCCTGCGCAATACAACTGAATATTCCATCAAAGAAACTGTTTCTACACCCCCTGCAACCAAAACACGAGCGAACTTCCCGAGCGCATTAAATTGTAATTCCGTTCCATCAACCCTTTGTCCGATCGTTTCCTTTGTCCGCGAGGGGAGAAACTTTATGGAGGGTGGTGTATCGATTAGCGCGAGGCTCGAATTTACCTGTCCGCGATTTAAAACACTTAATTGTCGGGAAAATCCGGGTCCGATAATTCCCCGTTCGATCGGTCGGTTTTGTCCCGCTCCGACGAGTTTTCATCCCCCGGTCTCCAATTCCCGTCGCGTCCTCGTCGACGTCTACGGCAGCGTTTCGGCCCGTGTTTCCCGCGCACGCTCGCGGAACCCTGTGTTTCGTTCGATTAATTATGAAGAAACGTCGCGGTAATTGCTTTCGAGCGAGAATCGCCGTGGCACGTCGGCGCCCGGGCCGAGGGAAGATGGGGGAAACGATTGGACCAATTACAGTGAGTTACGCCGACGCGCGTGGCCACCCTTCGACTTCCAGTTTCAACTGTTTCTCATTGATTTTCAACTGTCCTTTTGTCAGCGCTGGCAAGAAGGATAACGGTTGTCTTTGTCTTCAGCGTTTACGTTTGAAATCGATCATTTTTCATGCGTTTTCTCGCTTTGAGGCAGTCGGGGAGGGTTCTTTGTCCGTGGTTCAGAAGGACTTGGCGTTTAATCAAATTTTGAACGTAGAAAACTCTTCTATTACTCGTAAATATCACGTTCAACCACTTAACAAATGATTTGAACGACGGTTCACGTCGTCGGGTAGCAATCAGAGAGCCGGCAACTGAGGAGGAAACTCCGAAAATCGTCGGATTTCAATCCGAATCCTCGATTCCGTCGACTTCGCGAGGTTCGTCGACCCAGTTCCCAGTCACCCGAAGAGTGTACGCGTCCCGGAAATTATGAAATCGTCGAAACGGTGTAATTCCCGGGCGAAGACGACTGCCGCGACGGAAATGGATGCGCCCGCCTCCCCGCCCCCTTCCTCCCTTCTTCTTTCTCTAGCGACTCCGACGCGGCGCCGAGACAATTTTCGATTCGCAGGCGGAGAGTTTGCCTCGGAAATCCATCTATCGCCGGGACCGGAAGTCGCTCGACGAACGGCAGACGCGAGAACGAAGTTAGCGGCCCCGGCCGGCTGGTCTCCCTGAATCTAAATAGGGGACGATTCGCTCGATTTCCGCGAGCCAGCGCCGATTACCCGTAGAAACTGCAGCCGGAGTGCACTCCGAACGCTAATTTATTAACCTGGAATTGCGAAAACGTTCCTCCACGTCTTCTTCGAAGAGTTTCCCGGCCGGGCATTGGTTTTCCGATCGGAAGGCGACTGTCCGCGCGTCGATCTTCGCGTTGGAAATAATTTCAGCGCCGATTTTTCATGGGAGTTCTGCTGATTCACGCTGAAACGCAATATGCGTCTGACACATTGATCGTTTCAGTGTTCCTTTAAATATTCAACCGAAGGAGACTTCGAAAGTATCCGTAGTTTTACAGCTGTCGATCGATTTAAAATTTACCTTCGACATTCCCTTCCAATATCCGCCATTTTCACTTTCCCTCTTCTATAAGAGAAAGACGATGAAGCACAGTTATATTTATACTCTATATTTGACTCAATCCGCGCAACGCTCGTAGCGAACTCCGTTTTTCCCAGAAGAAACACGCGCGTACAATTAAGAAAATCGTTTGGTTTCGAAACGACTCTAATTGCCGGCGGATGAGTCTCGCAGGGAGTTCCGGTGTTAACGAGTCGCCCGCCGAAGAAGATTACGCGTTCGCTCGAGCGCGACTCCGCGGCGATCCGCCGGAACAAAAGACGTTAAAGGCGAGGCGTTACGTGTGTCTATATCCTCTCTGCAGCGTTCGTTAGCGAGGGGAAAAAATCCCCTTTGAGCGCCTCGCGGATCGAGCCGCCATTGTGGCGCCGAGCGGCGCCGCGCCAAGGGATTCCCTTAGGAACACGGGCAATCCGACTCGTTTCCGGCATCGATCTCTCTCTCAAAGAATTTTTTCTATTGCGCTAATTCACCTATTGTTCATACCTTGTCGATCTATACATTATATACATTCTTATTTAATAAAAGATTTCAAAGGAATTCACAGAAATATTGTAGGAATTATAGGGATAGTTTATGTGCATTTTTCTGTGGTACGACGCCATTTTTTCATTTAACTCTGGCGTGGGCTGCTTGACAGATAGATGACAGATACCGTTCAAAAAGATGATATGCAAGAAAGCCACTATAGTGGCGTGGAAATTGCATCGAAAGGAAAGGATTGACAAATCTGTGTTTGCTCGTTGTTGCAGAGGACGAGAACGCGATGGTGCAGGGCATCGTGACGGAGGACGGCCTGTTCGACGGGACGGTGGTGACCGGATTCGAGGAATATTACATCGAGCCTACCAGCAGATACCTGAGCAAGCACGAGGACACGTCACCGGCCTATCACAGCATAGCTTATCGTTCCTCGGACGTGTTGCCGCCTCGGCGGTCCGTGTCTTGCGCGAGTCACCAGCTGCGTCACGGGTCCCTTCAGGAATCTATAGAAAGGTGAGCGTCCAATTATAGCGATTCCCGTGCGATGGCTTCGTGGAAAATCATTGTCCACCGCTGACGCGCACTGAGCTTGAAACTTTCTATTGCATTTCAGGTAAATCGGAATTTATTAGGCGAAGAGCGTGAGTAGGAAACAGCGAAGAGAAAGGACGAGAAATGGAGCAGAGAAACAAGATAGGGTTCCTAGATAGATCCCTAGAAATTCTAGATCTTTAGACACCATTACATCTCCAACAATTTCTCCGCGAACACTTAGATTCTGTTTATTTTTCTATCATTCACCAACTCGAAACGTGGATTCGCTTCAATAACCTCCTCCCTCGTGTAAAACAATTTTCAATCGAATCGGTACGAATTCAATTACCCTTAACGAGAGAGGCAACACCTGTAGTTTCTTTCAAGCGATCGAGTTAAGATATCATTCGAATGGAGCACAGCCGCAAACATTCGGTCGCAGTTGTCCACAGTGCTCCAGACATAAAACGCTAGTTAGCGCCGCGGAGTGTCTGCCGAACGAGGCACGGGTTTTCCAGGGCCTCGTTATAGGCGCGCTCATTAACGTAACAAGGTAACAGCTCTAAAACATCCGGGGTAAATCGCGTCGCGTTAACCGAGGATGAAAATGGATATAACGGGAGGGAGGGAAGAAGAGACGACGCGTTCGAGGAAGAAGCGAGGGACGCGGAGACACGAGACGATCGCTAAACGTCTGAGGTTTATCAACGCGAGCGGAACAGAGAGAGAGAGAGAGACGCGGCTCCTCCTTCGGCGTTGATTTCGTTACCGATCCCCGCCGGTGTGTACGCGCCGCGTTATGCCCGTAGACGTGCGTTAAGCGTGTTAAACGCGTTAGGAACGCCGGCGAGGACCACGGTAACAAGGTTTAAACCGCGGATCCTCAAACATTCACAGACGAATCGCCGGCGATTAGATTAACACCGGGCTAAGCTGACTGCCGTCGTCGGCGTACAGTTGGCAGATCACTCTGTGTAGGATCGAGCCGCGCCGAGTCTTACCAGTTCATGGGTTTGCAGTTTTAATCGCTTATGCTGTCGGTGAACAGTGAATTGAGCGAAAATATTGAGAACTAGGAATGCGGTCTGGATAAAATTGAGGAAGTTAATCTGTTAGAGTTCATTGATAAATAAGAATATGATATAAGTATTCGAAATCAAAATTCCTCTGTTAAACTCTATTGAACCGCGAACGTATTGATCTTTGCACGTTTATACATTCACCGGAATCAAATGAAATTCCAGCGCGCGTCTCTCTCTTGAAATTTCTGCCAAAGTTCCGCAGTCCGCTTATTACATCGAGTTTTCCACAATAGGCGGTATTAATTCACCGACCGACGATCATCACGGGCTGCCACGGGCACAAGGAATCGATGGGCGCATTCCGATCTCCTCGTAGTCCGACCAGCCACGCCGCAACAATTCCGTTCCGCTTGTGCCCGATGATGACTCGCGCGGTTTTGGGACCGCGCTCTCGATGCCACTGGAGATCCATCTCTGTCTCCCCGTGATCTCCTCTCTTATTCCGTCTTAATCTCTTTATTATTATTTCTCTTATCCCCTCTGTTAATTTCTCTGTTAATCTGTCTCTAATCTTCCGTTGATCTCTTCTTCTGTTGATTTTCTCTGTTATTCTCTGTGTTAAACTCTCTGTTATTTCGTCTCGCTTCCCTTTTATTCTCTGCGTTGAACTTTCCCTTATTCTCGCTCATTTTTCCTCTCATTTCCTCCCCGATAATCTCTCCCGCTTTCTCTCTTACTCCCTATCTCACGCAGACTCTTTTTCCACGTTTTTCAGGGAGCAGCGGCGGCACGGCCGCGGAAACGATTCCCGGACGTTTTACGAACCTTTGCTCGGCGAGAACGTGGCTCTCTACTCGAGGGAGAACAGCGCACGGGTTTTAACTTCGCCGAAGGATAACCGTGCAGCGGCGGCACGTACCGAAACGTGAGTTTCCTGCGCCGTGGGAGGAAGACAGGCGAAATCACCGGAGGATCGGTTTAAACCCGGGCCAAACTCTGAGAGATACAATATCGTAAAAATCGTAAAAATCGCGAGTCGGCAGCTTCGGCCGAGCTCTTTTATACGCGTAAACGAATCAGCTGCCGTTTAGACGGTTCATTAACACTGGCACCGCCTTGTCGAAGTGATTCGTTTTGAAATTTTCTGTAGAAACTCTGTCGTAAGGGTTATCATTCTAGAAAAGAATTAATTAGTAAAAGAATTTTGGAGTCGGTCATTTCGATCCGTTCGGTGGTTCCAGGGAAATCAAGTTGAAGGTAAAATCCAAGGAAATATGGTGAACCCCGTCATTCTGTTTCCAGAACGGGTGACGGAGACCGCGTCGCGAGACACCTGCACAAACGTGCCACCGTGGACCCGCGGAAAACTACCTGCATGCTGTACCTGCAAGCGGACCATCAGTTTTTCGCGCGTTACGGCACCGAAGAGGCCTGCATCGAGGTGATGACGAGACACGTGCAAAGGGTCAACTCCATTTATAAACACACCGGTACAATTCCATCGCAACTTCATTTACTCGCAATGATTTCGTTCCCACTTATTCTCCCAGTTGCCTTGTATCGACGCTAGGAAGACTGTAAACACAATTGAATAGCTATCAACGCGTTCGCATCATAATTAGTGTCTATGAAATACGATTGTAACTTAAGGGAGAAGTTTAATGCATTGCTTCGGTTTCTATAAAAAATTTAGAATTCGCTGTAGTTAGCTTTAAAGACGGCGAAGCCCAGATGTTGTAGATTAAAAAACCATCCCGTCGAGATCGGGGCCAGGGAATCAGATTCTTCATTGTTCGCAGATTTCAATCAGGATGGGAGGCCCGACAATATCAGCTTCATGATCAAGCGTGTGAAAGTTCACAGCGAGGACGCGCTCAGGGATCCCAATTATCGATTCCCCGGAAACTACGGCGTGGAAAAGTATCTGGAGCTGTTCTCCGGTAAAAATAAGCCTCTTCCTAAGCCGTTGCTTTTCCCCCGTCTGCTCCACAGTTCAACGGCCCCTAGATATAAAATGAACTAGGAACCGACACGTTTCATTAGCAGCCGCATAAGAAGGAAAATCGTTCATTTGTTGCAGAAGAGGATTACGACGCGTTCTGTCTGGCTTACATGTTCACCTACAGGGATTTCGAGATGGGCACGCTCGGCCTGGCCTGGACAGGCGATCTGAAGAACGCCGGCGGTGTCTGCGAGAAGAACGGCGTAAGAACTAGACCCGCTCGTTCGTCAAACGGATAATTAACTCAAACGATTTGATGTTTAATCCTAATTTTATTTCAAGATAAATTAGAAAGATTCGACGAAATACCCTAAAATTTGAGAACGTTTGAAACATGAAGTTAATCAGCCCGGCGATTCGAACGGGTTAATTAGTACTCGTTCGTCAGGAGAATAATTGTTATTATACGGTAGCGTACCGAGCACTAATTGAAAGCAGTCAACAAGACAATATCAAATTAACAAATTCAAGTTTCAACGTCCGCTTCAGTATTCAGGTTATTATCGGCTTGCGCTGGTACGTACCATATCTCCGGTGTTGTTCGCGAAAGCCCTACACGCTAGTTTAGGAGGTCTAGTTCGTGTTATTTGCCCGTGACTACGATCGCGTAGAGTACGAGGCATTCGGCGAAACTTATCCCCGCGTGCCTCGGAATTAAGGATGAACGGCGGCGGGCCGCCCCTTCTGAAATGTATGCCCGAACTTTGCAGCACTATCGCGGCAGCATGAAGTCGTTGAACACCGGAATAGTGACTTTGCTGAATTACGGGAAGCATGTACCGCCCGCCGTTTCTCACGTCACTTTGGCCCACGAGATCGGTCATAACTTCGGTTCGCCGGTAGGTAATCTGATCATTTTCCGAAACACCTGCACGGAGTCGGGAAAAATTGTCGCCTCGTTATAGACCGTTTAACCATTCAAATTTCGTATTCGATTCGATCACAGATCTCTTGTTGTCACCAATTGTCACTGATCTGCGATCGAAACCTGGATGACCCAGAGTGACACTATCTTTTACATAAACTTAAACATTAATCTTCTTCGAACCGAATTTTATTGGATATATGAGATATAAGAAAGATACCAGAGCAATCATAAATATTGAATTTTCCATTTCTGCTTTATTAACCGTTTGAGTGGCACAGGTCTTTGCAAAAACTTTCGTTTCAGTTCAGAAATTGACCGACGCCTTCCGCTTTGAAGCAGGCAATGACAAAACTAAATAATTCAAAGACAAGTAAATAAAGTTCATTCGATTCTACGAACCGACAGAGTGTCACTTTAGACATTGTAACGGAAAGCCATCGCGCCACTCAAACGGTTAAGACAACTGTTTCGAAGTTTCAATGAGTGTTCACTTGGCAGTCAAAGCGCGAACAGATAGCATCGATATAAGGAATCAGATTCGATTTTTCCCAACTCCGAGCCGGTCGCGTGAACGTGTTTCCACCGGTGGACGGGACAGGTTGTCTCGCGGTGCGGCTTTTTTTTTCTCTATTCCCTGAATCAGTGGAAAAACCGGTGAAACGACGACCGCGTCGATACGCGGCGCGGCTATAGAAGAGTATGACATGTTCACTTTGTTCCAGCACGATCCAGAACAATGCACGCCCGGCGGGGAGGACGGAAACTTCATTATGTTCGCCCGCGCGACCAGCGGCGACAAGCGTAACAATAATCGTTTCAGCCCGTGCAGCTTGACTGCCATCAACCCGGTTCTGAATAGCAAAGCTCGCTCGCCGAAGGGATGCTTCACCGGTCAGTACTCGTCTGCGGCGTTATTTTTCAAATGGCCGACGTCGTTTGGACGAGGACCGCTCGCAGGCGGTTTCATTATCAGAAACATCAGTATTAGGGGCAACGTTCACCGTTAGACTCGACGAGAAAATGTTCTCCGTCCACGAGCATTTGATTGTGCTATTTCAGTGTGCTACCTGAAAGATACTGTTTAATTTAAGGAGAGTAGCGCGCGTATTTCTAGTTGCCCCATGAAACTTTGATATAAAGACTGTAGCCGGTTCGGACAGGAAACGAATACTAAGGCGGGAGTTCGTAAGAGTTCGCGTCTTGAAACGATCGATCTGTGTCCCCAGAGCCTCAAGTGTCGTTATGCGGGAATGGCGTGGTCGAGGAGGGCGAAGAATGCGATTGCGGGTGGGAAGAAGATTGCAGGGACTCGTGTTGCTTCCCTCAGCGACGTTACCCGCCGCCAGGCGAGACGCCTTGCACCCTCACGCCTGGCTCCGTTTGCAGTCCCAGCCAGGTACGGCTGCTTCTTTGACCCTTGGCAATACCAGTAAAATTCACTGACTCACAATTCGAGTCACTTAGAAACCAATATGATTAAATCCAGAAAATGTTTTAATGTCAAAATAGAGACCTGACACGGGTCACTTTGGTTCTAGTTCTAGCGTCAACTGTTCATTAATTAAGATACTATTCATAGTTGGATATATATTCAAACTTGTGTCAGGGTCCTTGCTGCACCGCCGAGTGCATCCTGCGGTTCGGGGACAAGTGCAGGGACGACAACGGATGCCGGGACGCGAGCTTCTGCGATGGCCGCACGCCCTACTGTCCTCCTTCCATCAACAAGCCGAACAAGACTATCTGCAACCGCGAATTCGTGTGCTTCATGGGGGTGAGCGTATGACCTAACTGACGTCCGGTGAGATTTCAGGACAGATACCATTTAAATCTCTCCCTCCGCAGGAATGTACGGGCAGCATATGCCTCGCGTACGGCTTGGAGTCCTGCCAGTGCATTCCAGGTCCGAACGACCCGTCGACGAAGGCTTGCGAACTGTGCTGCCGGCTTCCTGGGGAGAATCAGCCTTGCTTGTACGTTTTCCTGTTGATTGCGCTGATCGTTAGCCCCTGGACAACGAGGACTGCTCTGGCAGAGCTAACGTTCCTATCGTAATTAATAATAACGACCGGTGTTACTTTGCAGATCGTCTTTCGACTGGAACTCTCCGCCCTACGACATCCCGGACATGTTCTCGAAGCCAGGAACACCGTGCAATGATTACAATGGGTACTGCGACGTGTTCCAAAAGTGTCGCGAGGTACGGTTATGCTCTGTCTATCATGGCTATCATTCACGCTTAGTTTTGGTCAGCGCTTAACGTGTCGTCTGTTGCACAGGTGGATCCCAGCGGTCCGTTGGCGACTCTGCGGAAACTTTTACTCTCCGACGAGAGTCTAGCCACGTTCCGCCGCTGGATAATCGACCATTGGTACGCGGCTGCTCTCATCGTTCTCGCGGCGATATCGTTGCTGGTACGTATTACTTCAAACTGGCCCCAGTTGTCTTTGTTCTTCGCAAATTTGATTCCGTGGTAATGCAAGTCATGATGTTACACTGTCGATCTTTTTCACGGCAGAGACAACCGAGGAAACTCGACAAGAGTAAGTCCAACGAGCGGAGCGTAGACAGCGATAATCGCTAGAGTATTTTTCATAGATTATTTTTAGAACCCTGAGTCGTTCGCTTCCCGATCATTGTAAGCTGTTTGGCGAACATCCGCGGCTCTGAGAGGGTCCTCGACAGTAGAACGTTTGGCCACCTCGCTGTTCACTTTGCCACGAATCAACAAACGATAGTTTCAAAGTTTCCGTGAACAGTGTTTAACGAGTTGGTTTCTCACTTTAGGTGGCGAGCATGAGAGTGCTGGGCAAGCGGCCGGACCTCAAGCTCAAGTCGGTCACGATAATCCACAGCTCAACGACGGAAACGGTGCGTCTACCGCCGGAGGGGACGGAGGGGGTGACGGTGCACCCTCCTGCTGTACGTGCAAAGCTTCCGCTGAGCAGAAAGGTCCGGGAGAAGAGGAGGCACCGAAAGCATAAGGAGTCCACGCACGGGAACAACGTCGACAAGTCCGGCAAGGTTGGCATAACATTATTACAACGGACGATGGTCGATTAAAAAAAATCACCGAAGACCAACCAGCGTTGTTTTCCGTCTCGCTCCGAAACACAGGTAAATCCAAGTTTGTCTTCCCAAAAGGACGCAGCGAAGAAGAAGAAGCAACCGCAGTCAGCGTCACAGCAGCAGCCGCAGCCGCAAGCGAAGCGGACGTCCGCGAATCCGAGCGAGGACTTCGTCAGGAAGAGATCAGCGGAGGCGACCACCGGGGTAGTTCAGGAGAACAAACGTAAGAAGACGTTCCCGGCTCGAGAGAAGCAGACGTCCGGCGGTGGCGGAGCGGCGAGCAACTCGGAGAGCGACAAGAGGAAGCGCAAGAAGCAGCACAAGAAGGAGGTGATCGACTACTCGGCGATCCAGGCGGAGAAGGAGTCGGAGCCGAACGCGGATCCCAAGAGCAAGGTGCGCTCCTGGCTGCTGGCGTCCTCGCAGTGTCGACCGGAGACGATCAGAACCAGCGGGACCGGTTTGCCGAAGAGCAAATCGACTCCCGTCGGGCTGACCAGCGCTGCGACCAGGATACCGGCCGCCAGGCAGGTGAACGTCTCCAGGAGACCCGGCGAGTCGAGGGAAGCGAAAGCATCGGCGGGCAACAACGCGGCTAGGAAGGAGCGAGCGAAGCTTCAGGTGGTGTACAAGCCCCCGTTCAGGTTCAGCGTGAAGCTGAAGAAGTCGGACAAGGTGACGCAAGTGGCCGGGCAGGCGGCGAACGCCGGCCACGCGAACGGCAGGTCGAAGATGCCGAGGACCGGCGTGTTGCTGAGGACCGCGAAGAAGAAGGACAGGGTCAGGATTGGCAGGGCCAGGCAAATAGCGCCCACGGGTATCGGGAACGGGGCTGGCGATCTACCCGAGCCAGCCAATTCTGACCTGCACACCGTCCCCTCGGACCTGGAGGTGTTGCTGTCCGAGAGCGAGTTCCTGTTCTCGGACACGTGACCACGGTGATAGAGACCAACGCGCGCGTGGCGTCTAGATGTATCCCGTCCGACGAAGTCATCGTTTCGCCCGGCCGTCTCGTAGTCGCGTCTCGGTCTCGCCGACAGGGTCACTCGATCTTCGATCAATTTTTAGAAATCAAAACGGCAGATTCCCCGCGTGGAACGACGACGAGTTAGGGGACGCCTGACGCGTCCACTGTATTTTCAAAGACATTCCATTTGCAACAGTCGGAGCCACGGC